GTACATTGACGACATTGTGGACGATTCAATCAGCGGAACGCCAAGATGGTGGAGAACCCTTGTGCAGCAAACCTGAAGTTGTCCAAGATGATGTCGCCAACTACGGAAAAGGAACGTGCCGAAATGCGGTCACGACCGTATCGTTCCTAAATCGGGTGCCTCATGTACATCACAACCTGTACTCGGCCGGACATTGCCTACGTTGTCACGCAGCTGTCACGCTTCCTAGAGGATCCTGGAACGCAACACTGGAAGGCAGCGATTTGTGTTCTGCAGTATTTGAAGTCCACTCGCCATCATGGTATCGTTTACAAAAGTGGAACGAGTGGATTTGGAACGCAAGCTGTCAAGGCAGAAGCGTTTACGGACGCAGACTGGGGAAGCAACATTGACGACAGACGTTCAGTGTCTGGCGTCATGATCATGATTGGGAACGCTCCGGTGGTGTTTAAGTCCAAGTACCAGAGGACGGTTGCACTTAGCTCAGCGGAAGCAGAGTACATGGCACTAAGCCTTTGTACTCAAGAGGTACTATGGACACGTGCCATGCTGAAGGACATGGGTGGGAGCGACGCAGGTCTGGGAAGACAATCAAGGTGCTATTGCACTTGCAAGCAACGCTGGATATCACGCGAGGACCAAGCACGTGGATATCCGTCACCACTTTATTCGAGAGAATGTGGAACGTTCCACAATCAAGGTGGCCTACATCGACACGAAGCTGCAGTTAGCTGACATGCTTACGAAAGCACTGGGAACGAAGTCGCTAGCGTTCCTTCGCGAAGCAAGTGGAATCAAGAAGAGGAACGACGTGCAGTAGCGGTGAGTGGGAGTGTTGATATGCACCTACTCTGCACGGTTCGGCTAACCGGCGTGACGTTCCAAAATGGACCGGTCCCAAACCGGTTAATCTGGTGGATGGCCAGGAGCACTGAAGTTTAGAGGACAGATTTAATTGACTTTAATCTACTCACTTCGGCATTTGCCTTTAACAACAACAACAGAAAGATTGTGCTCACCCGCATGTTCTATCTTTTACCGCCTACTTTTGAGATATATGAAGCCGTTTGGTACAGCTCGATGGGAGATGCACTTGTACACGCGCTGATTATGATTTTTTTGGCCGTAGTTGTAGGAAAATTTGTAGGTGCTGGAGTTTATAATATCAACCCCCGCTTGAAGTATAGTGTACGCTTGTCCAGGTAGAAGCGTCTGTCGTAAGATCGATCGCCTTCTTCATCGTCTTAGGATACAAACTCGACTTCACGACGCTGCAACACGTTAGCGTCGTGCCCAGGGGCCCCCAATATGCAATGTCAAATGTATTTAGTTATCACAAAGCAATGAAATAATCATTAAATTATGCTGTCATCTAATTACGCATTTTGCGCCGAATCGCTTGAACGCTACCCACATCCCATGCATCTCTATTATAGGCAAGAAACATCACCACTTCCAGCGTGTTAACATCCATGCTTTTACGCATATCCGTGTACACCAGCTTCGCCTGAGAGAAAATCTCTCACACTCATGAGACGTAGGAGGAACCCACAACACAGACACGTACGCAGTACGCGCTGGCGCAGCTTTCTGAAAGACGGGACCCAAAAACGAGCGTGTCGTCTCTTCAGTTGATGGCGCAGCAGGTGAAACCTTAAATCTTTGCAGGCCTCTTGCTCACGCGCATTTAGACGGCTCTTACTAATGATCTTGGTGATGCCAGTCTCCAATGCCGGGTAGTATCCCACCGCAGAATCCGACGCCAGCCTTCCTTTCATTGCTGGGTATTGGCGCGCGACCCAGTCAAAAGCGCGTCGTACGCCTACCATCGTCAGTGTGGAGTCCTGCAAAGCCTTGGTAAGTTCCTGGAAGTCGTACAGCGTAGTCAGAAGTTTTGCGCTTGGGCGGTCTCACTCTTCGATAGCAAGAAGTCCGCAATACCGTGCTTAGAGATTGTCGCGTGGACCATAGACTGCATCGCCGGGTGTAGCTTGCTGTAGCGCTCCACCATGCTAAAAACGATTAATCAACGCGTCGCGTTGCGCATAACAGGCACGAGCGGTGTCATCTTCCTTAACGCAGCCCGACACTTAATAGTGCTTAGATGTTTCATCAGTGCATGTATTTAACCAATAGCGTCTCGTCATTGGCTAAAACGTCGTTTACAGACGGTGACTAGCACAGCCAATAAAAGGCAGAGCACCAAATTTTTGACCAATCGCCTGGTTCACCGAGCAATTATCGCCAATCATGAAGAGGACGATTCCCAAGGCTTGACTCTGAACTCCCAAATCTTCTTCGTCTCCCAGAGGACAAAACACTAACAGTACAAAGCGGTGTGTGAGGCACTGGATGCTATCGTCATAATTGGGGTTCCGCTCCTTCGGTTGCGAGACCGTTGGGCCATCGAAAACCGCCATGGTGGCGATGAAGTGGCGGCCACCACCTGACCAGCCATTGAGTACCACCCCAAACTTCTCAGGAAGCTTGAGTGCAATGCCGTCCCTGGCGTATTAATAGGTACAGAGAAGATCAGTATACTTTTGCCGCGTCGCAGCCGAAATCGGCTCCATCTTGGTGTTCTTACGAACGAGAGGACGCTCGCAGAAACTCACGGGTATACGGTCCATGACGCACCACTCAATCCAGCGGAACACGTCACTAGTCCGCTGGTCTGGCAGCGTGAGTTCAAAGCGATTGCCATTGCGGAATGCAGCCACAGCTAGCTCTTGGTAATCAGGATGACGCCTCAGGAGGTGGTGGGCTTGATTAGTCTAGCCATTGCCGCTCTTGTACACCTTTTGGCAGGTGTTGCAGCGGGCTTGGTTAGGTGCGAGCTCGGTAAAGAGCAAATAATAGAGGTCTTTGTTTGAAAACTTCATTGTGGGCGTGGTTGGAGCTAAGGAGGCTTTAGAAAAAGGCTTGAATGGAGCAAATGCGCGAGTGAGAGAAGTGTGGAGCTTGCAACAAGCTCGAGAGACCTGGAAATTCTCAGCCACCTGGTAGAGATTGATACTATAATATTTTATAAATGGCAAAAATATGCAAAATATAGATTAAAAAATGATAATGTACTTTAAATTATATGGTAAAGTGCGGAGGCCTGGTTGTGCCATGTCGAATACATCTGAATCTGTATAAGTAGGTCGAGACAGCAGTAGATATCGTAGTTAAAACTAAAATGACTACGTCACAAACGCTACAACATTCAGCTTCTCGACATACCCGATCTGCTAGAATCTGGAACAAAATGTCAGCGCCACTAACTGGTATTCCAAGGAGAAACACAAACGTAAGGGCGGCTCAGTGCGCTTAAGAATGGCGTCGCGATACACCGAGCGGCTTTGAAATTGAATGGCTTCTAAACGCGTAAAATAGGTCCTCGCCAAGTCACCGAAGCACGATTGGTACTCGGTTTTCCGCATTTCCCGTAATTACTTGAATAGAATCCTTTGTTTACTAAAAGAGAACTTTAGTTTCTGGAATAACGCAAGGCTTGGAATAACGATTATCTGAGTAAAATCTGAATAAATGACGGATAGATAACCGATCGGTATTCCACTGGAATAAAATATTGGAATATCGATCGGTAATCTATCCGTCATTTATTCAGATTTTACTCAGATATTCGTTAATCCAAGCCTTGCGTTATTCCAGAAACTAAAGCTCTCTAATAGTAGAAACTGGCGCAATTGCTGGAAATTGAGTTATTGAACAACGCCCTCGCAGGACAAATGCGGTAAGACTCCAATATGTTACATTATGTACTTTAATTGATATGGGTTGCGTTCCACACTTACATGGCCTGTATGCATGGTATACACGTAAGAACTGGTATCGGCTATTATACTTAGTGAAAAGGTGATAAAATAGCTTGAGTATTTTCGTAGCAGGAATAGTTTGAGGCTGTCTGTTTGTTAACACACTTATTTGAGTACAACTCCTAGTTCTTCAAGATGCTGACGTTCCTGCTTCCCGTAACGCGCCGATCGCTATCCTTTGCGTGCTCTCTGCTTCACTTCACCTCTTTGCTTTCTCCTGCACACTCTCCTCCTATCCAGTTCCTCATCTCGTCAAAATGTCGGGATCTTGAGCGCTCTCTCCGTCTCCACTGCCCCAGTCTCTTGGCTTCTCACCAACACGAGTCAATTCCTGACTGGTCCGATCCAAAAGACCTCCAAGAAGCGTTGGGGAGATGCGACGGGGCTATCCTAGCCGCTAGTGGCTGTGGAGATGATGCCATCAACTTACCCAGTAGCTCAACGGACGAGTGGCTCCGGTGCGAGCAGAGCTTGGCAACTCTCGTGTCCAAAGACCATCGGATAGTCAAGCTATCATGGACTGAACGATTCGTGGGGGAGCGCTCTCCTTCTGCTGTGGGGCGCGCCAATTGGTCTCTAGAAGAGGAGTTAAAAGGAAAGTTTGGGGGTGGGATGAATTGGGCTCATAACCTGACCATTGTACGAGCCCCTACTGGGATGGATGCGTTCCTACGTGGTCGGCTGTTCGACTTGGTGTGCGGACGGACGCTATCCATGAGCATTAAACGAGGACGCATTGCATTTGTGCATCCGCTGGATGTAGCGGAAAGTTTAAGCGCGCTGCTAGAAAAGGAAACGCGTGGAGAGAATGAAGGGCTGTACAAATTATCGGGACCCGAGGCCTTGACATTTGAGGAAGTTGCGAAAGTGCTATCGGAGGGGGTTGGGGACAAAGTGAGCTACTCGAATTTCCCGTTGTGGGCAGTGCAACCTGCGCGATGGGTACGTGGAGTGCCTGGTGATGTTATTGAGGAGGAGCTTGGAGTGATTCGAGCGCTGGAAGCTGGTGCGCAGAAAGGAGTGGAGAGTAGCGTTATGGAGAAGCTTTTGGGACACAAACCACGCACATTTCGCGAGTTTGTAGCGGAGAATTCGGATGCGTGGCCTCGTACTAATCCACTGTAGCGTGGTGGTAGTTTGCTGAGCAACTAAAAATTATGCATGTAATTGAGCATATTTGAGAGGGGGGGGCTACTGATGAAAATCGCTTTTACTTAGTTGTTGATATGATAGTTCTTTCAGAGCCTGTTTGTCCTTGAGATTTCCGTCTGTGCCCAAAGAGAGAATGACTCATTCGCTGATTCGTGGTACTGCAGTTGATACATACTAGTACGAGCGACGATCAACAGCGGGTCACTTCGAAGTGTCGACTCTGCCCATTTTGGACAACGTAGCAGATGCATTTGAAGGCTCCGCTACAGCCGTTGAACGTACTCTGGTACTTCTACTTCGAAGTATTACGCTAACGGTGTATAATCAAGAAAACGCATGAAATACAAAGGAACGTAACACCCAGAATTATGCATGATGGAGGTTGTAAAGCAGTTTGCTGCTCTATGAAAAAGGTCCATTTGCGTCCCGTGGTGAGCAGGATATTGATGACCTTAGTCCTTGATCGTTGGGACGAGAGTGCTGCAGCTGGTAGTTTCCATCCGTGCTCTTAGGCATCACCGTCACGACAGGCGGTTGCTGTTCTGCGAGTTGAGACCCTCTGGAAGAGTGAACCAGTTGAAGGCGCCCACAACCTTCCCTGACCGATTACTCTGCAGATGAAGATGCAGCAGCACTTCCAGTACGCGTGACTCGCTTCCAGACTCCCGATGGCATAGGGACAACAGCATTAGTGCACAGCAAGTCAGCGACCAGGAAACAAGTTGAGGATGATTTACTGCTCGAGTAAAGCTGTCAAGAGAAGATAAAGATACGAAGATAAATTATTTTGAGTTATCATGAAAAATAAATCACTTGTGCAGGAGAAACACGTGCGATCCCGACCAGGGCGAGTCCGATGACGATACAAAAAGAAGGTTTAAAATATAATCTTTTGACTTACATGACACAAACTTGCCATCGAAGAAATAAAAAGGAAAGCCGTTTCTTTTGAGCATGCCACAAATTCGAATTTCTTGCATAATTCGAGTTTCTTCCACGAAACTAGATTCAGTGAGCGGTTTCCAGCGTCATTTCTGAGCTCGACGCGGAAGCAACACCCCCAACGGCTATGGACTCCCGTTTTCTGTGGGCACCAATTTACCTGCAAACGTCGGAACGCTAGTCTGCGTGTTAGTGTTAATGTCGCGAATCTCCTTCTCTTGTCGGGGTCGTGTATCTTGTGAAAGCCGACGTAGGAACTTAGACGTATTAGATGTGTAAAATATACTTGTTTCTTATTTGTTTTTCTTGAGCACTTCTCGTAAAAGAAGGAAATTCACGACTGAAGGCTCCCTCACCAGCCCTCTACCTTGCCAAAGTACCTCCTACCAGCACCAGTACCTCTAGTTGTCGTTCGTAAACGGAGTCAGCGTACCACTGTCTGAACTCCTTCGTTCCATTTTAGACTAGGGACGAGATAGTCGGTGACGGGGAACGAGACTGATCGGGCCTGACACTCTTCTTACACCGCTCGCTGAATTGCCGTAGACAGTCGTCCAGAATAGCGAGTCCTTCCTCTAGCCGAAGACCGTGACATTTCTCCCCGACTGCAGCTCGGAGTCCTCGCCGAGCCTCATCCTTTCCCGCAGGTCCAATCGCTGAGTCGACCGGCAGATCTAGAACGATCGACCTCGTTCCAATCGACGTCGAATCTGAATTTTCTTGCGCCACCGAGGTCGTATCAGTAGGACCTGCGCGCAAATGGTCGAGGCTAGTTCTCTCTCTCTTTTCTCGTAGTTCCTTCCGACTCTCAAGCTTAACCCAACCCTTTTGAGCGGCCTCAATTCCAGAGCCGTCGACAGCCGTCACTCGCGACGCCCAATAGTACCTCGTAGCGTGGCTATAACAGCCCAGTATCAAGACGAACACGTTCCCAATAAGACTCGCGACCGAGAATTCCAGTACCACGTCCACCATGAGAGTAACCAAGGCAACACCCATCCAACCACATAGGGCACCTTCCACGCCTTCGTAAAATACTCTAGGCAGGTAAAACACAAGCGACAATAACAGTTGTCCCACCAGACACACGCCCATCAGGTACTCGCCCACTCGATCGATCGAGGCTACCGTAGCCTCAGCTATCGCCTTCGTGTAACGACAGCACGACGTCCACACAAGTTGCATCACATCTGGAACGAAGAGGCAGATCGAGTGGTGCCACGTCTCACACCATCTGAGACACAACAGTCCGAAAATGCCGAAGCGGGGTTCATACTTTCGTAACACAGCCATGGGAACGAGGAACATTAGCGTGACCAAAGTGCACGCATATTCTCTAAGGTGCAGCTCTTGAGCGTTGACTCCACGGACGGTAGTGACAAATCGGTCACTAGTATACCAGAAGAAGCAGACGGTAGAGCCACAGTCCACCAGGCTCGCACTGAAAGCCCATCCCACATTGCGTAAAGGCGTCGTGACCACCCACACTACTATCCCAGCTACGGCGCAGACCACCATAGCTCCTGTTTCGATTTCCGGGAACGTCACGACAGGAGCCACTGCTTCGATTCTATCGACCCAGCTCCTCAGCACTTCCATCATTTCAGACTGGCGCTGCGTCAGTTAGGAAAGGTCATCCTGGCGTCGTCCGTCGACACCCCTTCCCAAGTGGCGTCAGTGTCACTCAAGTCGTTTCCTTTCATCTCGTTCCATTTTTGCACCCTGTCGCGGGCGTCCTATTTACAACGTCCGTCAGCCATCATCCGAGCAAATGCGACGTATCTTTCAGTTTCCAACAATCTCCACGTAGAACACCTCCCAGCTACAACTTCTCAGCTGCCAGCATGTCCAAGCGCCTCACTGTCGCGGAGCGCCGGTGATTCAAGCGATTCTTCGACGCGGCCCTAGAGTATGACGAGCATGGAACGCCAGGGGACGACACTAAGACCACCAAGCGGGAGTTCTGGGACGCGTTGAAGGCGCACTTGGGCGGCAACGGCCTCTCCACTGGTCTGGAGCACATGGAGCGGTTGGTCGACGATCTCCTGGAAGGTCGACCCTCCATTGCATTGCGCGGTCCCGTGGTCGCGATGCCGTCAACGTCAGGAGTCTCGCTCGAGCCGTCCACGCCTGCTAAATCTCCTACCTCCTCCTCCACTTCGTCGGCCAAGAAGCTTGTTCGCGGCAAGCGGAAAACTCGCAACGGGCAACCCCCAATCAAGTCGTCTAAGAAGCTGCGGAGCAGTGACAAGCCAGACAAGCCGACTTCTACGCTCGTTCCTTCGGCCGAGTACAAGGCGCTGGTCGACTTGAACCTCGACGCCCCTAACTCTTTAAAGGCGGCAGTCTACTTCATCTTGGCAAAGGCGGAAGCGGCCGGGAAGAAGCCTTGGTGTATCGCTTATTTTTGGACTGGACGTCCGCAGTGGTACAACCCGCTTCGTTTCCACGCGATCTATCGGGGTCACTGGCGCTTCTGGATGTGTCACCGGCGGGCGTTCTGGGAATGGGCCCTGTACGCGCCTCTGGCGTCGGAGACGGCGCAGAATAATCGTCGTAAGGCCAAGATGCGCGCCGTACAGGCTTGAGTGGCCTTCATTAGTTTGTGCATCGAAACTTGGGGGGTCTACGGATTCCCTAACGCTACTTGACAAGTGCCCGCTAATGTTCGGGATGGGAGGTCAGCCCGGTCGTGACAACAGGAAGTTCCTGCACTACGACGGACCTCTCGCGGACACGTTAACTTCGCTCGAAGACAAGGATCCGGATCGATATTAGGCTACCATCGACAATGCTCTAGAGCCCGTGCAGATCGGCGCGTATGGGTATCCGAGTATTCGCGTCGTGTTAGAGACGACCGAGGCCTTGGTCCCTACGGCCAAGCCTGCCAATCGACTCTCCATGGTGGCTTTGGCACGCATTCGGCTTGATCTTCAGTCCTCGGAGACGCCTCGTGACACCTGGGTGGGGTCCACTAGTGACGAGCCTTGGAAGACTCTTATGGACAACGCCCTGGTGAAGCAAACTCAGCTGACTGTCGCGACCGAGTTGGAGAATGGCTCGTACCAGCTCCCCGAAGTTAGGGGACCGACCAAGACGGAACGCCGACGTGCCGACTGGTCCGATCTCGAAGAGGACGACGAAGACGAGGCCAAAGCTGCCGTTCCAACTTCCACGGTCGTGACCGCTGCTACTGCCGACTCCCCTAGTGCCGATGACGACGCTGACGACGGAGAGGACGACGACGAAGAAGCTGGGAACGACGACGAAGACGAGTACAAACCGGAGGAAGACGACGAAGACGATAACGAGGAGGATAAGGCTGAGGCCGACGACGGGGAAGACGGTGAAAAGGTCGTTCCCAAGAAGGTTTCAGCCGACAAGGGGAAGACCACTGAGAAGTAGCCTCTCGTTCGGATTCGTTTCCATCCCTCGTTCCGTTTCTTGTTTCTTCGTCTCGAATATATCCGTTTAATCTCCGCGTTACAAGTCTTTACCGCTCCTCGGTGTCCAGTTAGTCGATATCATCCCTCATGACAACTCCTCCTCGTTCCAACTTTGTTAATCTCTGGCCTAACCGTCCCGCCTAAGGGTCTAGTGCTCCGCCGATATCCCATGCCACTTTCCCAGTGTCCCTTTTCGTAGCGTTCCAATATGTAAATGCAAATTACAGCTCAGTGTTTCGAGACTCACTCGTTCTCAAACACCAACAAGAGTGAAGCGGTCCAGCTTCACTCGTTCCAATCAGTCAGAGGACCAGTTAGAGCAACACTTCCGCGTCGTCCACATCAGCGTTGGCTTCTACCAACCTGACGCTCCGACGTATCTCCGGGAGACCCTTTTTCTTGCGGTCTGCTTCCTCAAAGACGCTTACCATGGTTCCGAACTCGGGGAACGGAGCAGTTCGAGGTAACCAAAAGGTCTCGTACGTAGCCGTCAGCACTAGGTACTGCAGCTCACCCTTATCCACTCTCTTAGTAACGATGTCCACGCTGGGCGACGAGACGCCGGTAAAAGCTGTCTCCTTACCC